GCACAAACTCATGATGACCGGACGACTTAGGCAGTGTGTTTTTAGCTTTGCAATTTGGACCTTGTCGTTCTTGCCACCTGCATTCGGCACAGGGACAGAAACTTGTGAGTCATGTTTTTTCGTTTTTAAATATTCGGATTTTTGTAATTCCATTTAAAAAATACAAATGTCTTGCCCACTACACGTTCGTAGAAAGCATTTTATGACACCTCATAACATGCTGGAAACGGGCATTTCTAGCGTAATACGTTGGTTGCTGGAAATGCTCTCGAGTAGGAGACTAATAATCATCCACATGTTGTTTCCGGGCATTCATAGAAGCGCCGATCGGACACCACGTGATTATTTTTACTGAAAAGCTCAGAAGTGCGGTCCTGTTGAGAATTGGAAGCCCAAGCGCGTCCAATATGGCAACCCTGATAAAAGCGGCTTTACGGATGGGGCTGTGGGATGACAGTGAATAATGTGCGAAAACGCAGGGAAAGACGCAGGCATCAGGGGGTAAATATGCTAGTTTGTTTGTATTAATTCTCAGCGTGGGCACCGCGCAATGCAAAAAATCCACCGCTGGTGACCAGTAAAACCAATTCCACGAAGAATAAGCCTGATTGGCCAGTCAGTGTCATTGAAACTGAATCGTCCATGAATGTGACCAAACAGACGTAAGTCGTAGATGGAAGTTGTAGGAAGTGGGTGCCGAATGACTCCCTAATCATGAACTAGCATTACTCCTGCTCAAATCGCCAACAGTACGAAATTAATAATTTGCTGACCAACCAGGACGATATTTCCGAGCCTCGATATTTTTACTCTTATGGAAGGACCTCTAGCCTTACCCAGCAACAGCCGTAAAAAATGAAAATTTTTTTACGAAGGGCACGATTACTCCCTCATCGAGGCCCATCTGAGATGTACAATAGCCCACCCCCTCCCCACCCCCCGTAAACGGTTGGAATTACAGTGTTTCTGACAGACAATGCTCACGCGGTACTGAATAGATATCTCATACTCTTAAGAAGTTGTAAGTGCTGGTTCCAGTACTTAGCCGTTTATCTTTTAGAGGGCAAAAGTTGTCGAGAATTTCACTTCTTCCGTTTAGCCATCTTTTTTTTCATTTTTTTCTATCACATTCTTAAATGACCTCCCATCGATTAAACTGTGTGTTCATAACTTTGGCCCTACTATAGGCAGAGTAATATTACCGACAAACCGCAAACAGTCATGACCGACTCCGAGTTTTGAAATACCTGGGGCTCGATCCCGCGACCTGTTGGTTAGAAGTCCAACGCCTCTAACCACTGAGCAAAGGGCTCGTTGTCCTGTCATTTGCGATCGAGAATATGCAATGGTAGAGGGGCATTCACCGATCGTTTTGTTGAACTCACTCGTCCCGTTTTGCTTAAGGGCTCTCCCACGAGCCCAATCGACAGCCGCACAGCGGCGTACGATATAAGCAGAATGGCATTGCCGACAAAGACAAAGGGGGACTGGAATCCCCATTTCAGGCTTATTAGGCGTCGTCAGCTCGAGAGAGAACCTAAGGCACAACGAGACCAGTGAGCTCCGTAACACGATCGACAGGCGCCCCTCTACTGTTTCTGACAAAAAACAACCTGCTCTTTATTGATTACCCGCTGCTCTTGCTATGAAACAACGGGAAATAGTTGAGAGGCAGTCGTCAAATACTTTGACACCAGTAAGTCCTACCGTTTATACTTGTTAAGCATTCATACGAAATACATCGCACTTCCTTTGGTCCTTTTAGCTCAAGCTGCGTCACATGGGAATTCACTATATTAAAACGTGGATTTTATTGCTTTTAAGGGTTTTGAATTTGAGGACTTTTCCGCTTCACTACCAGCGGAATTTCCTACCCTGCCCACAAAGCAGCAGTTATTTCAGATCAAAACTGTGTTGTCGCGTTTGCGTCTTTCGGACTCTTATATAATATAGTGCTCCTGGCAGAGCTGGATTCAAATCAGGATAGTATGTAACAGACGGATGCAGAAATGCTGGCATGACCGTTGGCCAATACAAGGGGGACTTGGAGGTCGCTCTGGTCGTACCCACCTTCACGCCTACGTGATCCGAACCCGGGCCGCTCGATTGTTCGCCGTTATACGACAAAAAGGAGCGAACATTTTACAGCAATAGTAATGATGTGGCGGCAAAACGTTGGCTCGTAGCACAACCAGTCAAGGGCGACGGAGAATGTGGGTAGACTATTTCGGGATTATTCTGCCTTCATTCAGACAATAATGACCTCGACCACCAGCTGGGACCAGAAACGCAAGCACATGCTCCTACACGCTGTAGATCGGGTATTTATTCAAGCACCTGCGCTCTGTACGACCGCGTGTTTGCGTTTCTAGTCCCAGTTGCTGGCCAAGGTTATGATTGATTAAATGAGGACCTCTGTTGTTATAAGTTGGCCAACTTTGTCCTGGTAGTTGATTGCCTGTTAGTGACCTTTGCCTCGATAAGCCAATAGGCCGATGTGCACTCCTTCCTGATAGCATTACATAACGTTGCGTTCGTCGTGATTTCGTGTTTATTTTGCTTAACGTGCAAAGCAGACTTATGGACCCAATTACGGGTTCCTTGCTATTGCTCTGAAGAATACCTTGTGCAATTTTATCTGGTGGGAAAGAATGGACTTCCTTGGCAACATAAGCAGAGACTGGTGGACAAACGTAGTTGTCTGGGAAGCTGGTCGATGTAAGCCCGAGGTTCTGCGCTCATGCTTGTAAATATTACACACAAATATAGGCGTTTCTTCCACTTGCTAACATATCTAAGCCGTTCGATGTATGTCCTGTGAGTTATGGAACCCGCCGTGGATACGGCTTTGTCAAGAGTGACTGTTCTGTATGGATGTGCGAAGTCTGCAACTTTGGCTTTCAGCCAGCCAGAGTTTTCCTCAAGTCCTAATCGGGGGGCATATGGTGGGTAATTGAAGTTTTTAAGCTGGATCTTAGTATTAAGTGCGAGGTTCGTTTCCCGACCGAATCCATATTTTGCCAACGGATTCCAGACAGTAGAATTGTCAGTTAAGATTAGTCGTTTTGGTACCGTGACCCAGCCAAGTTGTTTGGTCATTTCGTCATGGAAGCTGCCTCTGCCTAATCAATCCAACTCGGCTGGCGGATCAATAAACCTGCGGAAAGGTGGTGACGCCCATGCGGTAAGACACGGCTTAGAGCTAATTTCCAGGAGGGATAAATACTCTGGTACCCTAACGCTAAACTTAATCCAAACCTTAACCCTAATCCCTACTCTAACTCTGACCCTAACCTTAGCAGTAATCCGTTTCGAGTTGACCTCCTCTTCAACGCCTCAAAGTGGGCAACGCTGCGAATTGAGGGTAGAAACACTGAACTCCTGGCGCGGACGACGAAAAACGAGTCCAAACCGCCTCTGTCGTCCTTTCTTGTATGGCCTGGAATATCCCCACAATATTGTCGCTGCGAGCGCGATGTGCCTGATGCATTTGGTTTGTTCTTTACTGCCTCCCTCTAGTCGACGTCAAAATATGCAAAGAAGAAATTTCTGTCAAGGACGCCCTCTCAGCATCGATACACCTCGAGACACCCTGCGCCTTTAACTTTGTTAACGTTGCTGGTGGTACCAGACATCGCTTACTCATCGACGTCTCACAACTCTCCTTCCCTGGAGTGGGTTCCTTGAAGTCCAAAAGCGAGTACAAAAATTCTGGTCTGCCGGCAGACGTAGTGGAAGCGATGACCTATTGCCTGAAATTGACCTGGGTGGACAAGGCCCGTTTCACCAATAACACTTTTGCGCCATTCTCCAAAATTCATCGCATTGTAAGTTGAAGCAAATGCCCTGGGTCATCCCCCATTGCAGAATTTGAGTATTGCACCTTTGATTTCGAGACCGGCGATCCTACCGCTTTCCTGAAATGTTCATTTCAAAGAGCTGTATATTCGTCTGTAACCGTTTTTTTATCGTACAGCAGACGTCGAAGGTCATGAACGAGTGGCTGAAATCATTTTGGGGTGCTGTCCATATTGTGGGGTTGAATACGGATGACTCTGTTTTGACTTGAATGTTCCAGTTTGATTGTTTCTGCCATGAATAGCTCTCGTTTATAGAGAGGCCGTTAAAAATTAGTTAAAATGCAAAATACTGTCCGCCAAGTTGCATACGGATTAGTATAAAACATTATCCCAGTAACCTCCAACACGGTACCATCCTAGCTTTGATTCTAGCTTATTTCCAGCCCTCTGTGTCTATACAGTCACGAAAAATCTCCAAATGAGGAAGTGCTACCATCACAGAGCCGTTTGATTATCTGTTGCCGACAGCCATCATGGCCATGTCTGGCGTCCTTCTATAAGGCCCCGTCGCCACAAGGTCACTTTCGCAGGCGCGCTGAGCTGTAACCACTCAACCCGTTGCGGGCGAGGAAGTCAAGGATAGCACACGCCGAGTTAGCGAAGCACTGGGGATAGTTCCTGACCAAGACCGATCTGAATAGAGTCGTTGACACATCACAATACTCATACATACGAAAGGGAAGAAGAAGCGTTAAGTAAGCATAAAAGCATGATGGAAAGAGATGCAGACGGCAGTTCGTGACCTATCTGATGAAAGGCCACGAACTGTGAACCTGAATCGCTGTAGCGCACGATACTGCCACCCCGCAACCACGAAAGTTATACTGCGTTAAATATACGACCGAGCTTCAAAACAAGGCATGGTTTGATTTATAAAGTACCATTTATTGACCAAGAAATAACTTATTTTAGGGAAAACCATCAAATAAAAAAATCGACTGTATGACAGGCCAACTATTCAGGGTTTAATATAACTGTCGGCAGAGAAGGGAAGTTTCACAAAACGACAAAAAATGAAAAATAATAACAAATACAACGTGTTAGTATTTCGTTCACTGTCCTTTAGCTTTTACAGTTGCTGTAAGGCGGGAGGGCATGGAGATTACCAAGTTGTCTATGGTGGTTTGGTATATGTAATTATTAAGCAAAAATGTCAACTTCTGTCCCATAGAAACATGTTTCCTTGCCTTGTCCCAATTTCTTTTGATAAGTGCAAAAAGAGTTTTGATGGGACTTAGGTTGGGGCTGTTGGCGGGGATAAAAATCCTTCGAAGGCCGCAGGCAGAGGGGCTGACTGTGGTCTACAATATTAGATTATAGTCGTAAGCTAAATTTGATTCATACCTCCTTTGAGCAGTGGACAGGGGCATTATCCTGCAACATTACAGTGTCCATTCGACGTCTGTGAATGTCGTTGTAACTGAAGGCATCCTTTACGATGTCGACCAACATCTACTACTAGTTCCCGGTGTAGTAAAACAAACCCAGTCGAACAAGCTTATTACTGCGTCTAACGATATAAAACGTTACAGTTTTGCTAAATAGGGTTCACGAAGAACAAATTACTTCCGATTCATGAGAATAATGTGTTTTTACATACTTGACGCGACCTGATTTTCATGAACTAAAAATCAAAATTTTCGTTCCCAGAGTAGCCTCCTTCGATATTTTTCTTTGTTATATGAGTTTTTTATAACGCAACACTTCCAAATAAGAGCTTTTAATAGGGGATACTTATTAGAATAGGAAATTAAGTAGATATCCCGAGATGTCAAAATTTGCCTAATTTTGGTCCGTTTCCCCTGAATAAAACGGAACTAACATGATTTCTTCTTTAGAAAAAGGCTTTTTGGGATTCTAATAAATTCTAAAAACAAAAATAACCACACCAACTAGGTGCCGTCCCCTCAACTCAAATACCGGTCTCGACATTTCATGAGTTAGGTCATCTACTGTATAATAGTGGTTAATTTTACAAACGGGATGAGTTACAGGAAGGGAGTGACCTGTCTGACTAGTGAGGCGATACTGGCATGCCTGCTAAACAACCGGTGGCGAACGCAGCGCTTTGGGCAACTGCAGGGCAGATGCCGGGGGAGGTGCCGACGTTGAGAGAGAGGGAGAGAAATGAGCGTTACAGCGAGTTGTGGGGAGGAGGTCGGCGATATAGAGAGAGGGAAGGGCACCGGCCGTTTTCACGTGCAGTTACTCCATCACTATCCTAGGGAAGTGTCACATCATTCAAACGACTGCAAACAGTTCGTGGAACATTGCAAAGTGACTTCGAGTCGGACGCACATGCGACCACAGAGTCCCAGCCGCACAGGGGGCAACTTGTACGCACCACACTCCCGAAACCAACAACATAAGCTTCTTAAACACCATCCCTCAGCACCTGAGCTTGGGTCACGAGCTACCACCACTGTCTCATTAACTCTCATTCAGCACAAACCCTGGTCTCGCCAGCGGCCACTGCCGCCTGAGAGGATTTCTCAGGGTTCTGTATGCAATAAACCCCTCATTCTGTCTTTGCCCAGAACTCGGGATTTGGCTTGATGATTACCGACCTCCGTGTACACCGTCATACCGCTTGGAGGCTACAGATTTAGCTGATGCAACTACGTTGCTCAGGAAGAATGTGCAAAAATTTGCTTGACAAAAAAAACGATGTTGGTGTACCAGAAAGCCCAGTTAGGAGCCTCTCACAACCAGAAGACGTCTTTCCTGCCGAAATCGAACTGTCGACTTTCGATTTCTCGTCTGGTGTAGCACCTCCTTAGCTACTGGCTCATTCTCATACTGTAACTCGAGCCATCAAGCGGACAGCCTCTAATTTGAAGTCAGATGCGATTATGTAGCCGCACCTAAGATTAACCAACCTCTAGCCGCCTGTAATAGAGCACCGGTTGTGATAGGGATTTTACAGGTGGGGCGGGGGAACGTACTGGTACGAGTAATTGCATGCAAAAGAAAAGCTATTGGGAATACGCGGTTGTACTTTGAGTGGTTGAGGAATGGATGTCTTAACCCCTAACAGTATTGTGTTCATTAGGTGCGGCTATACAACCACATCTTACCGAATTTGAGAATAAAGCATCAGTTCCGTCCTAGGGCGTACGTTTCCCGGCTTTGTCAGTTTACTATTTTTGTAGTCTGTTGCAATAAAGTCTTTTAAGCATTAGGCAGTTTAAACTCCCTGAAGCGTCCAACAAATTACCGAATCTATTATTGTTTTCAACTTTTGACCTGCTGTCAGCTAGTGCTGGGCAGGGTAGAAGAGCCAGATTTGCATGTGTGCTCATCTGTTCCAAATGCAGTTTTACATGTGCCTTCACACCTCTGTTAGGGAAATTTATGACTGTTGCAGCAACAATCGGGTGAAGGACCCAAACACACACATGACCGGCCAAAGGTGCCTGTCTTACGGGAAAGGTGGAACTAGGGGTTTTATGGGTGGGGCCTATGCATGCATAGAGGAATGGCCAAATAAGTATAAATAATTGGTAAATTCGTTTTACGAGCAGAAAAAATTTGAGACATTGACATATTGCAACCGAAATTAAACAAGACAATTAAAGAAATAAACATTAAGTGTCTAAAACAATCGCTTCTCAAATCTTTGAGCTCAGTTCATTGTAGATAATGTACCAAACCGTCTACAACAGGCGACCGAACCTTGTACGACGGAACACCGAACCGAAATAATCGTGTCGGACTAAAACCCACTTAAATAAATATAGTATGCATTCGTTGTATGCCACAGATGCTTGGGGCCTTCACCCGACCCTTAATCTTTAAGCAAATATTGAAATATAATAGTCCTAGTAGCAAGCCGGTGCTCGGAATTTGCATACAGGTTTCTCAGAGTTTTAGAGTGCTTTAAAGTTATTTTTTCTAAAAACATTTTCTCGTTTCTGGTCGGACATGGGAATATGGACCCCCCCGTACCATAAGTGGCCTCGCGCTGAATTTCAGGGGGTTCATATTCCCGTGTCCCAACTTAACACCTTACTCTGGCACTCACCCTAACCTTAACAGCAGTCGCCACACCCCTAACTCTAACTACAACCCTACTTCTAACCCGAACCATGAATTTAACTCCTTTGGACGTTATGGGGGGGGGAGGCTCCATATTCCTGTGCCCAATTCCATTTCTCTCAATGCAGCCCTCAGGAGACATGCTGACCTAGGCAAACTGCTGGAATATATCTGAAGAAATAGGCCGAAGCACTCTGGGGACACTAGATTACATGCATATGCAGTAGAAGGTAGCCGAACTAGGACCTTTTAAAGAGTAGCAACTCTTGAACCTACCGAATCTTCAGCAATCCTTTTGTAAGAAATGGAGGTTGGACCATTTCTAACCCACAATGCGTAACCTTCGACGAACAGTCATCAAATTTATCCCGCCAAAACTGGGCGGATTCTCATTCGAAAGTTACGCCATCATGGTGCACGAGCTATTTTGTCTCGCTTATCAGTACCATTGAGATAAATGCTCCTGGCAACAGAAGTGGCCTTCGTTCCTCAATAACTGCTCCCCAACCGGTGTTAGGCAAACAGGTGCTGGTCTTTTCTGTGTGTTTGCATTTTTGTCTCAGACTCATTTCGATGGACAGTAGTTAGAAGCCCTAAACAGGAATCAAAGATGGGAAGCCTCCGAGGTCATTCTGGCAAACCGCTTCTTTAATAGTCTGGATATTTAGCGTATAAATTGGCCCTTAATTTCTTTAGTGAGCTCAAGAAAACGTGCAGCTGTTTCGGCGTGTGTCACAGGCAATAGCATGTTGTATCGCGCAGGCACCTTTGCCGGTATTCTGATGAACCGACGTAACTCTTTCTTCTCAGGACCAAATTGCCTGCAAACACACGATACCTCCAACGGAAAACATATATATGCTGATAGAGGACGCCGAAGGAGTAATAATCGAGCCCGCTCCAGGAGTGAAGAAATTCACCATGGATTTAATGATTAGTAGCGTCTGTAAGTTGGGGTGTTGTGCACCAAGTGCAGCTAATGTTCTCCATTATTACTACTGTTCAGCATTTTCTTATTCTCTGCACTCTGTTTGTCAATGTATTTAAATATCAGGCGAAGATGAGAGGGTGAACAACATGATCTGATCGCTTTTACAGAAGGATCACCTTGCATACTGATGACTTGCGACAACTGCGATGCAGTTGACCTAGGATCACTTGCTCGTGTCAGTTTGTTATTAGCAGTAATCTGTATTCATCCGGTGCAGGCTGATCGGAGAAAATACGTCATAAGTTTGTTTTCCACGTGGCAGCAGGCGGGGCTAAGCGAACACTCCGGAAATATGTCAGTGACAATTGTAACGTGTAGTCTGGCAAAAATGTAGATCGAACGGCGTGGGGGCCGGGGATTCGAGGCAGAACGAAATCAGTAGTTTAGATGCCAATTGACCCAAGGCATTATCACCTGATCTAGTCACAGGACTCGCTTGCACACATCCGAAGAAAAGACTCAGGGCTAGGTTAAATAACTATACTATGCTACCAAACAATAAACCAACCGCTCACGACTAGTCACCGGCATTTAACATGTACAACACACGAACCACAGTAGATGGGCCCCACGCCAATCGCGCTGCGGAACCCACTCGTTCCGTTGGGACTTACAGGCTCTCTCTTGAGCCCCGCCAGCAGCTGCACGACGGCGTGTAATATAGGCAGGACAGCATTACCGACAAGGACGGGGAGACTGGAATGTCCATTTTTGGCCTATTAGTCGTCGTCGTCGTCGTTGTCGTCGTCAGACAGTCATACCCAAACACTTGGCGTGGAACATCTGGGGCTCGATCCCGCGATCGGTAAGCGCCCATCTACCACTGTATATACCCATTTACAACCGACAGGACAACGAGCCCGTGGTTCAGTGGTTAGGAGCGTTGGATTTCTAGCCAACAGATCGCGGGTCGAGCTCCAGGTATTCCACACCACGGCTTTGAGTACACCTGGCTGACTACGGATAATAAACCAGAAATGGTCATTCCAGTCTCCGTCGTCCTTGTCGGTAACGCTATTCTGCCTAAACGGGCCATATTCTACGATCTTACGCCCACGCATGTGATAAGGGAGCAGGACAACGGGTGAAGGAGTAGCCATTGCTGGAGGGAAGCCGCGGGACTTCCAAGAGGCTACGAGAATAGAAAGACTCAGTCCTCGGTCAGTGTTGTTCCAGATAATTGATTCAGTCTCCTAGTTTGTTCAAAACGCCCCGAGCTAGTGTGCACCGATTAGTCTCAGTCCTCTGCATCATAATGTCACTGGGGTGGCAAACGGAAACTAAGTAATTATTTGTTTGCAAAGTATCGCCCCATTTAGTCTGACGGATAATCACAGATGACGAGCAGGGGCAAATTTCGATTCCATGACGCTGACGATTCATAGGTTGTATAACTTCTGAAGACTATCTACGTACGTGAGTAGGGCATTATGTTTACTCATCCGTAGGTGTTGGTCAGGGGTATTGCTGAATTAAGGGGACACATGGAAGTCGACTAGGGGTTTTTTCACAAATCGTGAATGAATGGTTAAGAACGACATGAAAGTGCGCGACCAAGTGCTTTAGATTCTAGGACTTTGAGCTGGTTTGCCCGTAGGCGGCCTTGGTGGCCGCGAAGAAATACTTTATCCCACCGCGATCCGCGTATCCTTGGATACCTTCTGTTTTGCGAGCTAGTTAATCGTTCTGCATCTCCGTCAGCCTCTGTTGCACTAGGCTTCAACAACAGAAGTATACGGCTAGTTGTGTCGTTGTCGATGTATAGGTTACGTTTCCAAGAGACAGACATCGGACTTCTTCGCCGTTGTCATCGAACCAGTCCTCCTGTTATCTGCGTGCATGGCCGAGGACTTCAATGCGATGGCTTGGGAGACATCTCACGGTTCAGTCCGTTTGGTCCCATCGACTGTATCTTCCTACATGCATTTTACTTGCATGAGACGTGTAGCAAGACGCTTGTGAGAAGTCAGTCGATCTTCATCGTATCCAGTAGTGCAGGATTTAACTAATCTGGTGCTTACATGTCCTGTGGTCGCCTGTTGGATTGCAGTTAGGCCTCATCGTGCAGATGGAAAAGCGGTTCTCGAGAAGCTGTCAGTGATGCAACCTAGGGTGCATTCATATCGCAGAAGAAGACCCTTTTCCGTCCGGACCTACTGGAGAAAGAGCTGCCCTGCGCCTTTGGACGCTCGCTCCAGAGCAACGCTCACTCCGTTCCCGTTACGGTCGATTGACCAATGGACTAACTAAAAGCTTAAAGGAGACATAGAGATGGGGATGGGGTTGTTTTTACATAGTCCTTTGACCGCAGTCTATGCGTCCACGAATCCCGTCCACGCTCGGTGGGCGTAATTTTAAGATACAGTTTCTTCTCCACGAAGGAATGACTAATGCTTATCTAGGCAACGTTTCTGAGTTATCCCAGGAGGGCGTTGAATTCCATGCCGTCACAACCGTGTCGTAGTGAGAAGACGACCTGAATTAGACTGAGCCACCTACTAGGTTGCGTGCCGTCCTCTCCGTAGGATTTTTTGTTTGGAGGGGAAGTTGGGAGGGGGATGGGGATAGGTGAAAGAACTATCTGACGTCCTCGTCTGGTTCAGCTCGCTGACGAAAAACGGTTACCGGAATGCGACCGCCGTGTTGAACGCCGGGTGTCATGGGAGGATGAAGTAGAATTTTTCACTATGTTCACCGAGGCGTTTGGCGGGGGCCTACTGTGTACTGTGAGCAAGCACTTGGGTCGGATGTGGTTTGGTAGCCCCACCTGAAGTAAACAAACTCCAGTCACCTCTAATACGGGACCGATGGGAATAGCGGCTCTTACAGGAGGGGCCGGAAACGCACGGACGACGAGGTCAAGTATTTGTATGAACAAGAAAACTATTGGGAATGTGCGCTTGTACTTTGAATGGTTGAGAAATAGTTGTGCTTACACCTACCCCTAACCACTAACTCTAACCCCTAACCCTAAACTTTAACTCTAACGCTAAATCCTGGCCGCAATCCCTAACTCTTAACCCCAACCCCAACATCAGGTGGGGCTACCAAACCACATCTTACCAGTACTTGCAACGACCGTGGTTGGGCCCACTCTACTCGGCGTCAAACTCTTCGTGCACGGCATGCTCTGACACGTTAGCTGCGACAGGGTATCTCCCTCAGTTTGTTGTTGTGCGACAGTCATCCAAAGTACCAAATAACCGGGAGTGACAACACAGTTGCGGTCTGAGTTCTTACCTACAGCACCCCCGTACGTCTCGGTCATGATCTACACAGTCGACCTTCCTGCGGCTCCTTCTGGTTGGTTGAGAGCAGCTCAAGGTTCCATGCAGCATAAATCCCCCAAGTCCTATCCTGTTAACCGAGACCTGGCGTCATGGGCAGGCTAATCGCTGCAGACATCCCGGGCTAATTCTGTACCTCTGTGTAGTTCAGCAGCCATCTGGGGTTACTAAGCAACCCTGCCTAGTAAAGCATAGCCTACCTCATCGCAGGGGGGGAGGACTTTAAAATTTACTGTTAGAAGTGCTGGCGGTTTGGAATGTCCGGTTTCTGCCCACCAGAGTAGTGATTACAACAGTTCTGGTTGTCCCCAAACTGAGTTGTTACGGATGGGACACCTCGATTATCAACGGTGGCCACGTCTTTGGGCACAGAAAACGAAATACTGTAAGTACAACTTTTAGAGCAGACGTCCAAAGGTGGAGGGTGAACAGCTGGATCCCACTTCGCTGTCAGGGATGACGTCGTGAGACAGTTGTTTTATCTTTATTAGGTGATCGGGATACACCTCATGACCATGAGGTATCTATCTTAATGGGACCACAACGTACAGATTCGACACTGTAACCCATCTGTGACGCTTGGAGTTATCACTGTGTGACACTTTTAGTGGCCTGAAGGACTGCCAGGCGGCGGGTTAACTGAACTCTGCTCTTAAGTGATGACCAGACTGTGATACAGCCTCCTCAACATGATTTCATAACATTCTTAACGTACCCCAGTTTCGATATCCATTTCATAACGGCCCGGTTAGCATGGGCGGGATTCAGCACCAGAGTGGCATTCGAAGATAACTTGTTAAACCCTGTCAGCCCACGACGCCCACTAGCGTTTTCAATCGCACTGACTTTTTCTTGCTAACCCACCATGATGGCTGTACGAAGGGAAAAGAGGGAGAAGATGATTCAGGTGGTTCTAACATCTGCTCTACTGCATCCTCTTGCAGCTACGGGTGGTCCTCTTTGACTGGGTTGGACAAGCTATCGTTTTCTCTTTCGAAGTTAGAACCTACTCCACCCGAAAATACCTTTCGGAATAAAAATCTCGGTTTAGGTCTAATGCCACAATATCCCTCGTATGTGGGGCCGAGATGTAACACTTTCGCTGTGCATAACTATTTTAATAATTCTATTTTACACAGCGTGTCAAATTGTGTTTAAGGAACTTCAGGATATCTTGCCTACACCTGATACCTGTCAAATGTCGTTTAGATGGCAAGTATTCCTTTGAAAAGTGTCCAGATGGATTTGAATCATGCCGGGAGGACCGTCGAGTCTGCGTACCCAAGGTGCTTTTTTGCGACGGTCTAAGCCACTGTCCGGAGGGAACCGATGAAGAGTACTGCGTTCATCGCCGTTCCGGTATGCTCCACTTTAATATAAACCCTTTCGTTTACCTGTCTAGAGTGCAAATGCATTCAGCTACTCTTTTCCATGTTTTCATAGCGTTTAATGTGATACCGTGTGGCAATTCGTCTAACAGAAAGGTCATCTAAGCATGTCAATTAGGCCTGTGGCCCTCACTGTTGTGGTTAGAATGTCACTCGATCCCATTCTGTCCACCCGCCAGATTGCTACTGACGACAACGAACGCTGTGTCTTGGAACATATGCCACATATAATACATAGGCAGCTCTCTAGGAGTGCAACAGGCCAGATGCAGACGCAGACGCACTGCTGATCGGTAAAAACCACGAAAAAGCTGTCTGCGTCTGACCTGTTGCACACCTAGCAGGCTGTATATGTATTATATGAGGTATGTGTCCTATGACACAACCCTGGCTGCCGTCAGTAGCAAGCTGGCGGACGGACAGAACGGAATCGAATGAGATCCTTGCCACAACAGAGAGGGTCATACACCTACTTGATATGCTTATATACCTCACTTCATAAGGTCTACGACGTACTGATGATCGGTAGCGACCATAAACAGCTGTCTGCGTCTGGCCTGTTACACTCTTAGCGGGCTGCCTATGTATTATAGTCATCTAAGTATACATCGTTTTGTTAACCCATAGTACCAAGACTTGACGATGACGGCGGTAGCCCTGCTTCTAAAGCAAGGACCATGAAATCACCTTTCGTAAGAGATAACCAGAGTCGAGCACGAAGTTGGAAGGTGTCATTTCCTTCTACGGAAACTGACTGACTTTATGTCACCAGGCAATGTTGTGCTGTATGAGTGATCCTGTTTTAAGGATGTGTTGGCACTCTTTGGAATGCCAGCATTCCAGGATGTTTGAAGTCATTTTTATGTAGGTCCAGCCTGCCTTCGGTACTGTAACCAAGCTCGGGCAACCTTTAATATTTAAGGGCATATAGAACGAGTTTGATCAGCGTTTCACAAGTTTTGGAGTATACTGTGAAGTAATCAGTCAGACTTTAGATGACTACTGCTATGATAACCAGGGTGTGGGCGTTCACACAGGAACTGGCAAACACCGATCCGTCAGCTCCACGAATGTGTGGTAGAGTTCACCAACTGACAACTAACTACCAGGGCGCTCTCGTCCAGGCCGTGGTGGCAGGAGATGAGGGACGAGAGAGACTGGCGATACAGGTTGATACACGGCTGTTTCGGACTTTTTCTACCTTCATTCAACCAATCATAATCCTGACAACCAGTTGGGAACGCAAAGATGAGTTCGTACACGGCGCAGATGGGTCATAAGTTCTTCATCGAACCGGACACTTTGTCGACGGTCGTGTGGTCGACAAGATAAAGATTCCCAATCAAAAGTCAGGGAAGACGGTTTGAGTTGGACAAACTTTACTGCTTGGAAAGCGTGTACACAAAGGCTGTGTGGGCAGTCGCCGCAAGCGCGCTCCAAGCAAGCTCTTGTCTGCGCCCGCCCTCGAGGTGTTGTGTTAGCGCGTGTGTGCGCCCTTCGTTGTCTCCACGTCGCCAGCCAATCAGAGTGGGGACAGCGTTGATTGGCTTCGAGCACTCGCGCGTCCCAGCAGCGTCTCGACACGGAGTGTGAGGCGGACAGGACGGCAGCGTGACAAAGGCGGAGGGTGAGGAGACTCGAACCGCCACAACTTCACTAGGGCCTCGCTACCTGTCATTCTCTGTGGCTGCAGATCAAGTGTTTATTCAAGCAGGAATAGATGCGCACCGATATACTGACCTCACGAAGAAAGCAAGCTCCGAATGGGTGGTAGAGGTCACGAAGGGATAACTACCAGCGAGGCCGATCTTGGCCAAACTGTGAGAGCAGGAGGGTGACGATAGAGACACGGACATATTGGTAATCTGATAAATCTGCATCACCTACGTGCGCACTGTTATGCTTCTGCTCTCAGATTGTACTAAGGGTTATGATTGGCCGAATGAAGGCAGAATGGGGCCAAAACAGTCATGTGTCAGTCTACCCGTATCCAGTGTCGTCTGACCGATTTCGGTCTGGTATTTGACAGCCTTCTTTTGATTCTTGCCATTCATGCCGAACCTAATTTCTTTGAAAAGCGATGCGCGCCTATTCCTGATTGAATGGCTGGCAAACGAATTCAAGGGCCCAGGTATGAATCTTGAAGAGAGATAATAGGATTATTAAGAACTTTCTACCTGACAGGAGTCGTGTCGTAACTCGTATTAGTATGTCATTAGTATGCCAGAGGGTGGGTCGATTTGTTCGAAGATTCGCCTCTCTTTATATCGTTATTAATTTTTAGCGGGGCTGCCGGTGTAGCGAATTTTGAAAAGTTCTCCACCATCTCAACTAACACTGTTGTTTTTCTTCCAATGTTTTATTTAGCTGGCGGCTAGAAAAAGTGGGCATCGGCGCTCTGTCGGCTCGTTATATTCGTTCCTTTTCATTCTTGTTATTAGTAACTTTTGGATGTGTCTTCTCTGCCTGCTGTCAGTAAAGCCTTTGAACTCACCCCTCTTTCTGTCAACGAAGGTGCGACATTGAAATTCTTGGTCATTGTAGTCAGACTGGTCTGAGTAGCGTGGCCTAAAGCAAAAAAATCAACGCGTATCATACTCTCTGCCCACTAACTGAAAAAAGGACTGGGAGGTAACTCCTTGAATAACTGCTGTATCAGCGGGAAATCCTGATGTCCTACAATGGATAAAGGAGGGGTTTTGATGGCCGCATAATGCGGCCGTTCTGACTACTGGACAGTCTTACCGTATCGATCGTTTCATTCTCTGTGACCATTTCGGTCGTCACGGTGGAGTGGCCAAAAAGGCCCATCAAATTCAGCTCATTTCGCAGATCGCAAAATACAGAATCAGAACAGCTACGGTGACGGCCGTACACCAAAACACTCCGGCTTATTTGTTATATTGCCGACAAAGACGAGGGAGACTGGGATGGTTATTTCTGGCTTCTTTCGTCTGTAGATGGCAATTTGAATCCCATAATCATCGTTTATACCCGCTACTGTTAGTATGATAACTCTGGAGTTGAAGGCGTTAGACGAAATCCTGAGGGACTTTACAATTTGCATACTCGCTCGAAAAGTTGTTCTGGAAAATATCTGTCCTTTTCACCGCCTCCTTGAAGACCTTATAACGTGTGTTTTGGGCTCCAGTTTATAAGCGTTACTAAAAAGTTATTCTTATTTCATTAGCTACCGTCTACTCAGTTCATAACACTTATGTGTCGCTTTGTAAACTTAACAGGATATACATACAAACAAACAGTTCTTGTCTTTCTAGGTGCTTTCGTAATTGCTATACGATGAAAAAGTTGTTGTGAGATATGAGATTTGATCTAGTAAAACCACATAGCAGACCCAGTTTAATAAATCCTACAGCTCTGCATTCCCAGTGACCTAAAATTCAATGAACGAGAGTATTAAACATGTTGCAAAATCCTGATGATTACAGAGTACGCCTGTCAGATCGTTAGCTGCTGCTATAGGTTTACCACAACAAGGGCAAGCACGTCAACTTGTGATAAGTCTGCAAACCCTCACACATCTCCTCCACATTTTAGAGTACAAGATTACGTCCCTCTTAACTCTGATAGCGCATGTCCGCGTCCTAATGGCTAGATTAAAATGCAACAGACAGGGCCCGGTCACGTCCGAAGAAACATTCGTCTTTTACTTTTAACACAACCGATTAATAATACTGCAGATTTTCTTGTAAGACAGATAGCGCGGGAAAGCTCCTCAGGTAGATCAAATTGTAGAAACAATCGTACAAGTAAACTTGTTTGCGTTACTTGTTTATGGCGGACGAAGGAGTATTAGGATGGATCGAGCCAACTCTTGGACTCAGCTGTTGACCCTGCCCTTTTGACTGGAGCTGGAGAGGGAAAACGGCTGGGCTGACGGTTAGTGTTCCGTAAGGCGGTCCAGTCCACCTCGGTACCTTGGAAACAGGTAAGGGGGATTAAGACGGTCATAAGATCGTTTCATATCTTGATCTACGAAGGCAGCTTATCTGGCTACTTCCATTACAGAAAACTTGCAGTATTTTAAGCTACTTTGTTAAAAATAGAAAGGACGATCTCTAGGACTGGGCTTTGGCTCCGTCGACCCCAGTTTAGCCCAGCTCTTAGGGGGGGGGACATGTGCTAGCAAGGATACAACTCTCCTTGCCAATAGTCTTCGTGCGTCCAAGGAATGCGCCAATTGATTTCCGGTAGCATCCCCTTTGACACGTTTTGTACGACATAAAAGTGACCATGACAAAAAATTACCTTCTGCAAGTCCAAGCAAGGGAGCATTCGGAGAAAGTCCTTTGGCTCACCAAACTCAGGGTATCTAGCGCTAGAACGCCAACATTTCTGCGGGTAAATTACGGGACATTGTTAGATGAAGCATAGTTTCAAACCGCATAATTCTGGAGACAAAAGATCTTTCTTCCCGTACATGAGCCTTCATGGATGGAAAGGAATAAAAGGGGAACCATATGTATACCAGATTTGTGCGGACGAGCTCTTGGTATTAAAGTAACTGTGTCGTCAGGGTCCCCTCTGCTTGCAGACCGCAATGGAAACAGTGTGGCCTTCAGATCAGATTTATTAAGGGAAAAGTAGGCGAACGCCTTTGAACTCCCTTTTGGTTACAATAACGTCATAAAAAAACAATGTGTAAGGCAAGTGTGAAAAAAATTAGGTAAGTAATTACATACAACAAGCATTGGTCACTGGTATGAGTTTGTCTGTGAATGCCTTCTGTGTCAAGATTGTACAATATCCAATGTCGGCGTTTTATCCGCTCCGGTGGTGTGTAATCCGGCTGAAAAAAAACTCCTTGGTGGGAATATTTTAACCTAAAACGTCTTGAGAGGATGAGATCAACATGCTCTTTGCAACTCAGAACAATTTTAAGGGGCCTAGGATGCGGTGGAATAGCGGGTTCAGTAGAACGCTTTCCAAGTCTGAAGGCTTTCAACACGGAAATTTCTTCGTCGGGTTGAAGCAGTGTGTTTAGAAGACCTTGGAACAAGCCGAGATCAGCTAATACGCGTTCTTTAGGTGTATCTGCTTGAGGCTCCTGAAGTCCCTGTATTACTAGGCACTGTTCTCGGAGCGGCCGGTCTTGGTTGCGTGATGTTGGTGACTTGGGAGTTCCTGGCGAACCATTCATGATGACATTCTGGTTGCCATCCACTCCAGGGATCTTTTCTGCAGCTAATGGTTTCGTGTTTGGGGCAATACTGCTCCTGTCTTTTATGTCAATACAGAGGATATTCGCATTTTCCGCGTCTGTGTCTACGCTGGCGCTGGAGGTTTCTGTCGATTGCTCAGACGAGCTCTGCTTTTCCACCCCAGGAAGTTCCTTTCTTCGGGTACTCCGAAGTCGTCCGATTTCCGTCTCTCTCTTTTCAGTCATCAGTCCCCTTTGATTTGACTGCTTCTTTTGATGTGACCTCAGTTGCATGTGAACGGTCTGAGTCTTATTATTAATTCCTTGGTTCTCCTCGGTCACATTGCGGGGGGCAGTGAGCGTCTGCTTTCTGCTCTTCTGCGGCGGATTAATATCATGCCTTGTCATATTCTCCGCGATTTCCTCTGAGGTTTCCGTCCATGCAGTAGTCTTTTCTATGTCGAATCCTTTTACCTTCTTCTGTGGTGGAGATCGGACAGCTTCTACTCTGCCAGTGAGCTGGTCATTGTTCTTCAGCTGGGCAGTTCTCAATGATGAGAGTGTACTGCCATTATCACTTCGCAACTTAGTTTGCGATTTTGGAGTGTCGTTTATCATCGCTCTTGGTGAGGGTGAGGCTGTATGTTCATGTTTCCGTTTACCTTTTCTCTTAGCACTCTGTTTATTTCTGCAGCCAGCGATCTCCTGAAACGGTGATCCCTCTACTAGTGGGTTGCTGTTAGTCAACTCTGTCAGTTTCGAAACTATCTGTTGGCTACTGCTGAATTCATCAATTGACTTGAATTTATCATACTTTAGGAACAATGCAATGAGATCTATAAGGAGGTTCATGTTCGTCTCCAACGACGTAATGTTTAACGCGAGATCTTGACAATATTTACACCGCGAACCACAATTTGAAGGTTCATCATCTGGTAGAAAATCTTGTGTAGGCGTGGCGAATTTCCCGGGATAATTTGCGTTGCGGGCCACCTCCGTCCTGTTTTGAACCACTTCTGGCGTACTGCGTTCGTTAGATCCTCCCTGCCCGGCGTGAATCGACGCTGGTCCGCATGGAGTTGCTAGTGCACTATTTTCATGGCAAAATCCGACACATTCCCCAACCGTGGGGCTAATGCAATTAATATTCTTTGTAATCATTGCCTCGGTGCCGATGGCCGAGGGGTCTAGGCGTTCGCCTCGTGAGGCTATGGTCGGAGGTTCGACTCCGGCTCCCCACGCCCTTTTTTCATCCCGCGGGACTGATGGATCGTACACTTCTACATTTCCCATGTCTCAATGCGCCAAAGTCAAGGATACAACAACGGCCGAAAGGTTGGCAGCAGAAGACAGACACAATCAAAAGAAGGCCTAAGGCTTTCAGATGTCAGGGAAGCTTTAGGCAACGGAAATCTAAGCGAATGCTCCGAGACTTCAGACAACAGAAACCTAGTCGAATTTAACGGCACTACAGTTAACAGAAATTTAAGCTAATGCTTTGAAGCAAAGGTACAGCTAAAGTGTAATTTCGAAGTGAGACTCAGCCTTTGTTCTGAGCGTTTCGTTTGCTGGAAGATTGGCCTTTTTAGGCTCGTATGCAGAACTGGTAGTGTCGAAGTCCACGTTCTGCAAAGGTGGTGTCGTAAATTGATGACGATGCGAATATTGCTGTCTGTGAATCAATTTTCTAAAATCCGTTTGACTGCAGGAGCATCCAGAGTGCGGAAATCTCGAAGAATATTAACCCCTCGGAGGACGAAAATTTGAAACCAAATTCGAAACGGCCTTGATTTCAAAGTCTCAGGCACTCAGTACAGTTGCGGTTAAACGACATTTGCCGACTCAGTATTTCTTCATACGCAGTTTTTGCCGGCATTCACAGGCAACCTAAGAGCCTTTCACAAAGTACGTAAGTTGCAGGCATTTTAAATCATCAACATAAAGGTGTTATTAAAACAAAAGAGACTGGATATTCGCAGCTGACTTATTTGCCCGGTTGCTCGCCCTGCTATCTTATATACCGCAAGTAATTAACGCTCTCGGTAATTATGCGTAATTCTGTATGCGGAAATATCTCATTAGATTCATGTCAAATAAGTTCCAAAATGACTCATCAGGCAGTCACCGGCTCATTTTATTCACAAGGGTCAACATGTCATACTATAATATGTTTGGAGATTTTTTCTGATAGGTTGACTCTCCTCGAAGGTGGGGGAAGTGTCAATAACTGTCCCGAGACTGTATTTTCTCTCTTAAGCTCCTAGCTTCACCTCCTCTTTGTTTAGCATCCCTATAACCAGGTTTGATCCCTCCCGTGTTGAAGGACCTGGTTTACGTGAATCAGCCATTACTTCTACTTTTATAACCTTGTCAAACTTCGCCAGGGTGAGTAAATTGACAGTTTGTGAATTCGCATGGAGTAGCCACTAAATTGTAATCATTAGAACCTTCGGTCTCTGTCCACCTTCTGGATACATTTGTAGACAAGTAATGACGCATCCTTCGGCTCTACCGGGCTCCCGTATCCTCACAAGAAGATTAAATTGAAACTCGCAATTTGCGATCGATGTTTGGGACAATCAGACTTTCGTGCCTGGGTTTCTAGTTCGTGTCTCTTGACAAAGACAGAAGATTCAATGCACCTCGGTCCTTTTAATGCAAGCAAAACTATGTAGTCGTGGTCACATAGCCAACCAACTCACCAAGGCCTTTCTTTAAATTATAACATTTAAAATATATGGACCCATGCGCAGTTAGATTGCTGAACAAGGTCACTCGCGTTCATCTGCATAACAAAAGTCATGAGGTCAGATTTTATTCAGAAAAAACTTGGATAATAACCTTGTCCTTGAGACTGGGCTGTTCATTAAGGCGATAACTCATACGACCAGCGGTAGCCTGCGCACCAGCGAACTCAAAAACTTGTGATATTTTTTTAGATTACTGTTATGTCTGAGCTTCCCCATAGGTATAAGGTAGAACAAACTGGTCTGTATCATGAACTTCACGAAGCCACATTTGTTACAGTGATAAGCTGCCTTATCTGCCTCGGTGTAATATGGAACAATCGAAAATGTTCGTATGCATAGAAGAACCAACATTCACATAAAAGTAATCCGTAAAGGTAACTGCAAAAAAGTGCAAGGTGTGGAAACCGTCGGTCAGCTTTCCTTTACTAATTTTTAGTTGGGTCCTTGTGCACTAACATATTTAATCGCTCTTGAAATGTTTGCCCCACATTGGTGGTAATCATAACATTGATAGTGTGGGTGGTTAAATGAGTCCGCTTCGGTGGAATTTAACATTAAATAGCGTGTACCTCGTGAGATCCCTTGAAATCTGCATTAGATCAGGTTGAGTTCCAAAAAACCGGCGTCGGAACCTCATCACTCCTATGCGCCGCGCCAGCGTTTTCAGTCTCCTCGGCAAATGAATTAACTCCCTACTGGAACAAAAGAGGTGACCGTACGAAACCACAAGGGTTCCTAGAAAGGGAGCAAAAGTTCATAAACATGCTTAATACAACGGAAATCCTGAGCAGGAAGAGTGACAGCGGAGAAGATGTTGGGGCAATCTTGGTAGAATCTTCAATAATGTAAACCATCGACTATTTGAAGTTCTACTTCACGCATACGGCTCAACCCCCAGTGTCTTAATGCACTTTGAACGCCTCTTTGTTATCACGATTGCGCTGCAAAATCATTCGAGACTCCGTGTCTTAAAGAAACTCTGCACGACTTGGTGGTAGGTTTGCCACCGACTGTTCTATCTGGACATTGTGTCAGAAGTAGCTTCCGACGAATACGTCCAGTTTTTTGTTGTCAATAGGTTCACAGATCACGAAAACAATCAGGTGTCCATTCAGGGAAAACACTTTGCAAGTAATACATCCGTTCGTGAATACGGCAACACATTAAAGTAAGACCAGCGCATTTGACTAAATCGTTACCTCTAGTTTTCTTTTCGGTTTTTTATTTGAAATTTAATTCAAACAACCAAAAAGAAACACGTATACACCTTCAAAGGTCTTGTAGGGAAGATATTTAGTCGCCTGACAAAGGGACTTTTCCTATTCTGCGCCAACTTTTACACTTCACTACTTTTCTGCTAGTTGCTTAGGTACGCGGATGATAACGAAATCGGCAGGTGGTTAAAATCCTGCTCCCTAACCTAAAAAGCCAACATATAGCACTTAAATCGCAAATAGCATCTAATATGTCATCTCTACAGCAGGCTTTTCTTGGAAATCCAAAACTATCAATTTAATATATGATTCGGAAATCGCCAGTAAAGAGGCCCTTATCCTCAAACTGCCTTTGACTTCCAATAACATTTCCAGAGCAAATTATTGGGGTTGTTATCTGATCTCATGAAAACTTTATAATGCGTTGTTTGGTTTTGGTCTACGCATTGGCGGATGGGGGGTTGGCTGTCGGTAAGAGTGAACCTTTTACAAACGATCCAATGTGCACGTCTACAATCACCCGGCAGACAACTATGTAACATGGATTATTTGCCGATCACGCCAGCCAAATGACTTTGAAATTCTTCTCAACTAGAACGGAGCAATAGTGTATGGCCTGAAATGCTCTACCATTGTCTTTCCAAGTCTTTTGCTAAAATCCCAGCTATTCTCCATAAAGTCTGAGCGGTGCTAGCGAAAGAACGGCTAACATTACAAATTACCGACAAAATTCTTTGGTCATTGATTTTTCCAAAAAGGGCTCCACCTGTCTTGCGATAGACCATAGTAAAAACACTCTTGCTGATGTAGATTATTAATGACTATTTATCCTGTCAACAGTTCGTGCGTAAATCCCCCCATCTTCTTTAGCCCAGTACGGGCTTCTCGCCACTGATCCGGTTCGTGAATTACGCAGTCCTTGCGCTATAGCTCGGGAGATTTAGCAGCAAAGCATAGAAAAGGACGTGAAAGTGGCAAGGATTTCGACCTAATCGATTTTGGCGGAATCGCGGACGTTGAAGTTAGACTTATGAGAAAGTTAGAAGCGATTTCCCAACTAATAGCGATTCAGAAGTGGCGGAGGCGTTAGCTGGTGGTTTGAGTATGAAGGAAAATTGAGGGATCACTGAACCTGATTTCTCAGTTTCCACGTTTGATAATGCTATGAATGGACTAGTGAACGTTTGGCTAAGACGAAGATTTATTTGACAAAAGAGGACTAGCTCGCACCATCGGTGTAAGATCGTGACAAAAGAAACAGTTTGCTTATTACAGATAATTAGAGATGGGATCACGGTGAGCGAACAGTGGGTCGGTCTTGACTGGCGAAAAAAGCCTAGCTTGAATAAGCAGATTCTTGACACGCGAAAAGAGAATTTTGACGTCCGTTATTTTGTAGTTGAAGCCACATGAGTGAAGAAAATTTACAGCAACCTCAATTGGCTGTCTGCATCTAGGAAAGCTTTCAATGTAATAAGAGATTTCGCCTGCGCCTATCACACCAGATGAACTAGAGCATCAAAAATTTTATGATCCTGTAAGGGAATATCGGAAATATTGCAATCGACTATCTTTCAAAAAGAATAGAGATAACTTAGCCCAATTTCAACATGAAATCGTAACAAGTACATAAGAAGGATAATTTGACTTGCCC